TCCCAAGAGCCGGGCCAAGGCTGCGCTCCACGGCCATCAGGGTCAGCAGCGAGCAGGAGGCGGCGGCCGCCGTCAGGGCGCCGTCCGGGAGGACCATCGAGGAGTGCGAGGCCGACGCCGTCGCTGGGAAATTCCCTGCTCCCCCGCAGCTGGTTAGGCCAAAGGCCCCTGAAGGAACACCGGAGATCAGGCCCCTTGTATGCATTCGATGGGTTTCCTACTTTCCTCACTGAATTCTGTGTGTTCTTACTGTAACTGCAAAATCCTGATTTGTGTATATACATATTCTTCTCCCCATGTGTAATTTAGGACATGGCAAAGCGCCCGCGTCGCAACCGGAAATCGCCTGCTCTTAGGGCTGCATTCCAGGAGACAAGCATCTCGCCTGCCAATTTTGTGCTCCCATTGTTTATCCATGAAGGTTGGTAGTGGAATTCACTGACATGAGTGTTCAACACAATTCAGATTTGATATATCGGATTTGCTCTTGATGATCTGTAGGAGAAGAAGATGCTCCTATCGGAGCTATGCCAGGGTGCTATAGGCTTGGGTGGAGGCATGGGCTGCTTGACGAGGTATTGAAAGCATGAGATCATGAATGTGTATTTGTAATGTTGTTTTCAATGAATTTTCTGGATACAGAAATATATATGCATTTTGCTGCTTGGATCAATAGTATTAAGTAACTCTTCGAACCAATGGTATATGCAGGTTTATAAGGCCCACGATGTTGGTGTTAACAGTTTCGTGCTCTTTCCTAAAGTTCCTGATGCATTGAAGGTCTATTAACTAATATAACAAATTCTTACTTGTTTGTGTCTTATATAGAGTATCTTACACTCTTGTTTCCCTCCAGTCTCCGACAGGAGATGAAGCGTATAATGATAATGGTCTGGTTCCACGTACAATCCGCTTGCTCAAAGACAAGTTCCCTGATATTGTAAGCTTATGTACCCCTCATTCAATGTCTGGCTTGCGTCATAGTTCCTAATATCTTTCCTTAAACTCATATGACCACTAGGTTATATACACGGACGTTGCGTTAGACCCTTATTCATCTGATGGTCATGATGGTATTGTGAGGGAAGATGGTAAGAAAGATGGACTCTTTGTTCTTATCTTGCACATATGGTCGTGTCCATTGGCTGCATATTGATCTTGTTACTCCAAAAAATACTTTAGTGTCAAAGAAATTTCACAGGCTTATACTGAAAACTTAGTTGCTTAAAACTGTTCACCTTTTCCCTGAAGATGCTGTACACAATATATTTTCAAGTCTCCATACATTGTCTACAGTAGCATTGTCAGAATTACTTTTTCCAGGAGGCCTTATACCTTAATGCCTGATATTGGTCACTAGAAGTTAGTTTGTACTTTGTAACATGTTTTGTGCTTTTTGTTTGCCTATCTGAAACCACTTCTTGCTGCTCTTATTTTTCAGTCGTTGACTTCAGTATTTCTCTTTCATGGAGTAACTGTTAAGAAGCACTAAGTCAATATGTCAGTTTGGTTTTCTGTATTATATGTTGCATAGTGATGCTTGAGTTTGAATTTTTGTTACTTAATGATTTTTCTCCTGGATGAGATATTAGACAAATCATAATAAATCTCCAAAAATGAACTTTGTTTTCTTATGTCCTGCATCAGGAGTAATTATGAATGATGAAACAGTTTATCAGTTGTGCAAGCAGGCTGTTTCACAGGTTCATCTCATCTCTTGATTTTGTGTTTGGTCACATATACATGCTAGTTTTTTTTTCACACTAAAATTCTCCATATAAATAGGCTCGTGCTGGTGCTGATGTTGTCAGCCCTAGTGACATGATGGATGGGCGTATTGGAGCACTTCGCTCTGCTCTGGATGCTGAGGGTTTCCATGATGTCTCCATTATGTCCTACACTGCAAAGTATGTTCCTGCTCTTCTTGTCACCATGTCATCTCCATGCCCCCACATTCGCCATCCTGTTATGTTTCTTTAGTTTGAATCCAAATGATGCATCTGTAATGTATGTTTTTGCAGGTATGCCAGTTCATTTTATGGCCCATTCCGAGAAGCTTTAGATTCGAATCCAAGATTTGGAGATAAGAAGACGTATGGAACTTGCACCAAAGATGCTATTTCCATCTAGTAAACAATTTAATTGCTTTGGTATTAAATGTTGGCTTTCTTTTTAATCTGAAGTTATCAGATGAACCCAGCCAACTACAGAGAAGCCCTCATAGAAACCGCAGCGGATGAGGCAGAAGGAGCTGACATTCTGCTAGTAATGCTCCTGCTGTATAGTGGCTTGTTATGAAGATAGAGTTTCTATGTGTACATCTATAACCATGGTCCTTATTTGACAGGTGAAACCGGGATTACCATACTTGGATATCATCCGACTTCTTCGGGATAATTCAGCCCTACCGATTGCTGCTTACCAGGTCAGTTCATTGGCTCACCCATGCAATTCTGAAGTTCTCCCCTTCATTTGGTCAAAATGTTCACGTTCCTTGTATGGTGCCAATTGCCAATGCTATTGGGTCTATCCAATCGTCTATCATCTAGCATTGGCACTGTACTACATATCAAATCATCTAGCATTGGCACTGTACTGCATATCAAAATTCTGTCTTTCCAATTTCTGGACACCTGGCTTTTCAATCCCGTATTCATTGCCTTAGAACCTCTCTTGTTATCTTGTTCAGATCAGATTGCACATAAATTGTCCGGTGCTTGCTTCAAACAGCATCAGTTAAATCATTTTGAGAATGATCAGTTGAACAAAGTTAACTGTAGTTTGCTACTATGTAAACCAGTGCTCTGCCACTCTACTATACATCTGTGCACATGCAAATGGTGATTGAAGTTAACTTAGTTGTCCAGCAAACATGAACAAGGTTCTTTCTGCTGATACAACTACAAGCAGAACCAGCAAGTCATATGAAACCTGTCCTTGCTTTGTCTATATCCCATGGATTTCATTTTTCCTGTCCTGTGTCCTGTGTTTGCATATCTAATCGCTGTCTGGAAATGCATGTGTTATCACTCTCTTTTTTTTTTTTATAACTTGGCACCAACAAAAGCGTACTTGGTGGGGGCTTCCAATTACTACTACTGTACTACAGACAGAGCAGTTAATGCTGATCATCTGCTAACCCCCACCAAAGTTTTCAGTTACTGGGCACACTGATGCTTCCAAGACGGGAGCTTTTCATACGTATATCATAGATAATAAATGCTCCATGTGTCAGATTAAATTACCTTCTCTGAAATGCTTTGCTCGCCACTCGCCTAGTACTAATCCTGCCGTCCTCTTCCTCTTGCTCGTGCAGGTCTCCGGCGAGTACTCGATGATCAAAGCCGCCGGGGCGTTGGGCATGGTCGACGAGCAGAAGGTGATGATGGAGTCGCTCATGTGCCTGCGGCGAGCCGGCGCCGACGTCATCCTGACCTACTTCGCGCGTCATGCCGCCGCGGTGCTGTGCGGCATGGGGCCCAAGTAGTCAAGTAGAGGCCCGCCATTCCTGCACCGCATGCCATTGTGTAGCTGAGTTGACTAGCAAGCAAGTAGCTTTATCGTGCGAGGGTGTGTTTGGGGCCGGGCCTTGGATTGTAGAAGGCCTGGGATTCGAATAATTTGCGCCGGGAGATAGCTGTGCAGAACATTTTCGAATTGCCATCTGGATTTCATTTCCCGGTACTAATCTTGCGCGTGCTGCCACTAAAAATTTGAAGTTTGAACTTTGAAGCGATTTTGGACGGATGGCAGGTCAGCGCCGGCGCACCCCCATCTGGCTACCTGAATGAACGAACAAGAATTGCAAGGGGGAGTGTGCACAGCATGTTGAAGGCGTCGCAGTCCCACATGATCCCACGAGGATGGATGGACCCATCCTCCTTCCTCGGTTGCCGTAGGAAGCAACGGTGATCTGTCCAGCGCAGGCCCCGACGGCCGAACTCGCCTCACTCACAAATGGATGTGCCAGCGGCACGCAGCTGATCGGATCTCGAGTTGCCTGCACCGGCAACGAGGCAGACGCAGCTGCCGCGGCGAGACCAAAACGGAAGCAACAGCAGCCATGAGAGCGGATGAGCCTAGCTGTGAGCTGGCCTGCCATGGCCAGAAGATGGAGGAAAGGAAATGCAATGAAAGGGACAGTTCTCGTAGCGTCACGTGAAACGTGCACGGACACCGAAGGATATATAAAAAGTTTTTCTGTTGAAAAAGCAAATGGAGCTCGAGCTCTACTCCCCAAGTTATGGCATTGCCAGCCACTAGTAGTTAATACTCGTACGATACGATACGATGATGATCGCCCGTTCATTCGATATGAATACGATGATCCGTTCCTCAAGCCTCGCCGGCCTTTCATGTGACCTTGTCGGGGTCGGCGGCCGCTGGCGGCCTGGCGCCACCGGAACGGAATGCCGCTGCCCTGGTCCTGCTGCCAGTTTGCCAATGGCACTCCAGTGGACTCCACTCCTCTTCGTCCTCTGCACTGCTTGGTGCATTGCACGCGTGGCCCATGGACTCCGAACTTTTTCGGCTTCGCTTTCCGCTTCTCGGCTATTACTCCGAGCACGGAGCGCCGGCAGGGCGATGCGGTGCGGCGACGCGTCTGCCAGCCGGCAAAGCTCGTACGGATCAAAGTGTTACTGCTACCTATAAACAAATTCGCTTGCAGATGAGAGGCACGAACGAGCATGATACGATGATCATGGAGTGAAGAGCAAGATCGAGCTAAACAACAAGGGTACTGCTGCTATTACTAGTAGAGAAAGGAGAAGAAAGAATCCGCGGAGCCTTTGAATCCAATCCGATCGATCGATCGATCGATCGAACCAACCAACCTCGAAAGGGAAGCAAATTTAAAACTACTACAAGTGAGAAAAAAGCGGCGGGAGGAGGATGAAGAACCAACAGCTACAGTGCAAGATGTACTGATGCGTCATGGCGACTCGACTCTGTCTGTCATTGGCGGGTGCGCCGCCGCCGGCCGGTGGATCAGCACGCGGCTAGTTGCTCTTGTACGGCGTCGCAGGCGGCGGGGGCGACGAGTAGGACACACCGTAGACGGGCGGGAGCGGCGGTGGGGGCGACGAGTAGGACACGGGGTACACGGGCGGGAGCGGCGGCGGGGGCGACGAGTAGGACACGCCGTGGACGGGCGGCAACGGCAGGTTCCCCGCTGGGTCGGACGGTGGTGGCGGCGGCGAGGAGTAGGGCATGCCGTGGGCGGGCGGGAATGGCAGGACGCCGCCGCTGCCAGGTGTTGATGGTGGAGAGCCGTGCTGGTTGCCGCCGTGGCCGCCTGGAGAACTACCACCTGGGGACGGAGGGTGGTAGCCGGGTGTCGTCGGCGGGAACGTTGAACCTGGCGTGCCCGGAGTCGTCGGCGTGGATGGCGATGACCCTGGTGCGCCCGGAGTCGTCGGCGGGTATGTTGAACCTGGCGTGCCCGGAGTCGTCGGCGTGGATGGTGACGACCCTGGTGCGCCCGGAGTCGTCGGTGGGTATGTTGAACCTGGCGTGCCTGGAGCCGTCGGGGTGGATGGCGACGACCCTGGCGCTCCGGGGGTCGTCGGCGGGAATGTCGAACCTGGGGTGCCCGGAGTCGTCGGCGTGGATGGTGACGACCCTGATGCGCCCGGAGTCGTCGGTGGGTATGTTGAACCTGGCGTGCCTGGAGCCGTCGGGGTGGATGGCGACGACCCTGGCGCTCCGGGGGTCGTCGGCGGGAATGTCGAACCTGGGGTGCCCGGAGTAGTCGGTGTGGATGGCGATCCTGGTGTCCCCGGAGGGTATGCTGATCCTGGCGTGCCGGGAGCCGTTGGCGTGTGCGGCGGCCAGACGCCACCGGGATGCTCTGTGGGTGGTGGCACGCCCACAGGTTGACCCGACGGTGCCCACCCGGACGACGGCGGCGGCGGCGGCTGGTAGCCGGACGACGGAGGCGAGCCACCATGGGATGAAGGCGGCATTGATGGCTTGGGGCTGCTGCCGTCTGTGGGCGGCGACAGGTGCGACGGCGTGGTGGAGCTCCCTGGCGGGGACGGGTACGACGGCGTGGTGGAGCCAGGCGGTGGCAGCGGCTGTGAAGGCCCGCCGGGACCCGACCCAGGCGGGCCAGACGTGGGCGGCGCCTGGCATTGCGCCGTCCTGCAGTCGAACGGCGCGGCCGCGGCGGCGCACTGCGGCGGCGGGCGCTGCGCGGGAGCGCCAGGGATGCAGTTCCACCTGCCGTCCGCCGTGGCGACGGCGCACCCAGGGCGCGAGGTGAAGAAGTTGTCCTCGTAGGTGAAGTTCCTGAGCGTCCCCTGCAGCACGCACACGGCCGGCGGCACGGGCCCCCTGAGCAGGTTCCCGGCCACATTGAGCTGCTGGACGGCAGCCATCCCACCGACGCTCGCCGGCAGCGGGCCCTGGAGGTGGTTCCCACTGACATCAAACACCGTGACCTTCCTAAGCAACCCGACCTGCGGTGGGACGCAGCCGGTGAGGTCGTCGTCGATGAGCACGATCTCATTGAGCGTGTCCGCCATCCTCCCAATCGACGGCGGGATACACCCGCCGAGACGGTTGTGCGCGAGCACCACCACGGACGCGGGGGAGTTGCCGAGGTTCCCCGGGATGGGGCCACGGAGGCGGTTGGAGTTGAGAATGATGGCGTCGAGCGGGCGGTCGAAAGACCGCCGGCGGAATGGGTCCCTCGAAGTCATTGAACCTGAGGTCGAGGTACCTGAGCGCGGGGAGACCCAGGACGACGGCGGGGAACGCGCCAACGAAGCGGTTGTTGCTGAGGTCGAGCTCGTGGAGGAGGCGCAGGCGGAGGAAGGTGTCGGGCAGCACCCCGCAGAAGCGGTTGGAGTTGAGGTGGAGCAGCGCGAGGTCGGGGAGGCCCAGGGGAAGGTCGGCCGGGATGTGGCCCGCGATGTCGGCGTGGTTCAGGTCGATCCCCGCCACGGCCAGCGCCCCGTCGGAGGGCCGCGGCGCGCAGTAGATGCCGTTGTAGGCGCACACGTTCGGGCCGACCCAGTTGGATGTGAAGTTGGACGGGTCCGAGAAGATGGCCGTCCGCTTCCACGCTTGTAGCGCCGTGTAAGCCGCCTGCAGCGCTGGGCTCGTCGGCGTCGGCTGCGCTGATGCGGGTGGCGCGAGGGTGAGGAGGAGGAGGGCGAGGGCGAGGAGGACGCGGCGCCACCCGCTGCCTCCGGCAGTGGAGGCGCGAGGAGCGGGGATCATGGCGGGCGGGCTGGCGGCCGCGGCGGTGGCGGCGCGCGCGGGGGTGGCGTGAGGTTTTTGCTGGGGGGGCGAGGGGAGAGGAGAGTGCTGGAGGGAGTGGAGTGGAGGAGGCAGGGCTGCGCGCGGTGTCCCTTGTCAGGGGCGGGACAGGGGGTCAGGTCACATGGTGCCTGCGTGGCCGGTGCAGTGCAGGAGCAGGACGGGCGGGGCTCGTGGTGCCTGCGTGGCCGGTGTCCGTTTCGCTTTTGTGGCTGGCTGGCGCGGCTCTGTTCGGTTGGTCTACACGGCACGGCGCTGGTGACGATTTGTATACGGATTTGTTGGGGCAGAAAAATACTCCGGCTTATTACGAGGAACGCAACGGGGTCGACGTCGGCGAACTTGGGCTGGGAGTGACGTGGCGCCGCGGAGTCAACGTGGAACGGTCTGGCGCTCGGAGTCACCGCCGCCGTGGCCGTGGCCGTGTGCTCCAGTCCAGCGTCGGCGTGCATGGACGGGACGGTCGCGTCCAGTGGCGGAGCCAGGAAATATGTTTAGAGGGCCGGCCGTCACGAATTATATTTAGGGGGGGCCAACCAAAAGAGTCAACATGTAAAAACTAAATGCAACTGAACTCATTAGGTTTCTTGTGACAAGCAAAGTTGTGTTTTGTATTATTATATTATCTAAAAGATATTAATAGGTATATATGACAAGAATTTTATATAATCTTTCTCTTAATACAAATAAAAGCTATTAAGTCATACTACTAATTTTTTTTGTTCGCGTGTTGCAGACCGACAGATGCACTGCAATGCCACGGTGATGCCGTCACTCGTCACTGCCATTCGGCACACTCCACGCTGCACTGCACTACGGTGAGTCGGTTCTCCAAACGCAAATTCGCAAGTTCAGAAGTTGGTTCCAGCTCGTCATCGTATTCGTCTTCGAACTTTCACTAAAAAATACTCTCTCTGAACATCTCCCGCCCGCGAAGTGATTAGTAAGCAGTAATTAATGGCGGGGCTTTGTAATGTGCACCGCGCCCGCGTGCACTCGTGAATCTCAAGGCCACCGGTGCTGGACTACTCGAGTTCAAAGTCTCCCGTTCCGAGCCGAAGCTTCTGCGCTCATCACACCACCACTCCTACCATGAAGCACGCACGCATGCATGTAGCTAGCCTGGTCAACAGTTCAGTTTCGTGCGTGTTGCCGCCGACAAGGTAACGTACAAACGCCGGTGGCCAGCCAGCGGTAACCTCTGCTAACCGCTGCACGTCTGAATGATCCCTCGTTTCGTTTGGTTTTCGTTTTGCTTGTGAGCTGAGCTGCGAGACTGGCAGATTGTAGAGTGTAGTAGAACCGTCCGTTTCTGGTTCTTTGACAGCTTCTGCATTTTCGGTGCATTGATCAATTCAGTAGGAATAGGTGGCCGGAAACGGCAATCAATTAACCTCTGGTCTGGCACTCCTGTAATGTAGCGTTGCCCCGCCCATGCTCTGACGGCCAATTGCCACTTTGGCGTGTCCTCCGGTGTCAGTCAGTGCGTCGTGCCCGTATTCAGACTGGGAGGCGCGGGCCCATGTGTCTGTCGGTCACAGGCAGTGGGGGAGTGCAGACGGTGACGAAGTATTTTTTTTCTTTTCGTTTTTCATTTATTTCTATTATATATTCTATAGAGTGGAAGCAGACCACCCTTTTTTTTTGTAAAGAAAAAGGCAGAGGAGACGTTGGTGGGCCGAGTGGCCGCAGGTCAGCCCATGCTCGATCGAGTACTACCAGTGACGGGCGGGCCAATCTATCAGCAAAAGGCCCATTCCGCGCCAAGGCACCGCTTCGCTTCCATATGCGCAGCCGCACTCCCAGTAGCAGCAGTACTAGCGTCCGGCCAGTGATTGTGCCAGCGGTTCGAAGCATCCCGTGCGTGGGGATGGGCAGGTACGGTGCCATAGTTCTGGAAATAAAGTCTAGAATGAAAACTTTTTAAGAATTGATTTCGTCTTGGAAGGATAGAGTTCAAATATTGATGCACATCTCTTAGCTGAAGTCTTATAAATCTATAAGTAGGTAGATATGTTTGGTTTTTGAGCCTCCCGATGACATTTGTAACTATATTTCGTTGAATGGATAAAGATAGTGCTCCGCTCAAAAAAAAAAAAACTAGCGTCCGGCTGTGCGCCTGGCGGGGTCGTTCGCACCGTTTCTCGTGTCCGCAACCGTGCAACACTCCATTTCTCCAAGCTTCCCACACACACACACGCACGGCGTCCCCGTAGCCGTAGCAGGCGGCCGTGGCAGGTGAGTCACATTGTAACATGTACACCACCTGGTCTACTTTTGAAATATTCAGATAAAACTTTTACAGCATGCGTCTGAAGAAAGATGAAACACTTGAAATATGCGTCTAAAACACTTGCGAGAACACCTAAAAACACTTGAAAAGTCATTACAAAACATATGCAACATCTTGACAAAAACACTTACAAACATACGTGTGAAACATACAGAACATCGAAATAAAAACACTTGCAACATACGTCTGAAACATTTGAAACAGACGCTTGCAATATACGTGTATAGCCATTGCAACATATGTATATCCCGATCTACTTTTGCAACATCTATACAAAACACTTGCAACATACATCTGAAACATCTGCAACAATTAAAACATACATTTGCAGCAGAGGGGGAGAGAACGAGGCCGGTCGATTCAGACCGTTAGGGCGGGAGCCGGCGGCGTGCGAGCACCACCAGCACCGGTCGCCCTCGTGGTTGCCCATTGGCTCGGCTGGAGATGACCTGAGGCGCCCCGGCACCTGCGTCCAGCCGCCATCGACAGGGGCAGCGATGGCAGCCCACGACAGCAACGCATCGTGACAGCGCTGGGTTAGGGAAGAGGCCAAGGAGGCACTGCGCAAACTGAGGGAGGAAACGTCATGGTCGGCTTGGGTGGAGGAAGAAAGCAACGGTGGCGACGCGGGGTTCTGCTGCTGCCAGCGAACATAGGAGAGAGACCTGGAGATGGGGAGGGCGAGACGGAGCAGAGAGATAGAGAGACGGGTGAGGCTGAGTGGAAACCGCGTCCGAACCAACGCAAGCGGACGGACGCCCGCGTTCGAGTATTTTTGTCCCAACTCAGGCCTTGTTTGGACGTTATCGGATTCACTTCAATCCACATGTGTTGAGGTAGATTGAGGTGGAATTTAGTTCAAGTTTCACTCCAATCCACACCAACACATGTGGATTGATGTGAATTCGACTACATCCAAACAAGGCCTTAGTCACGTCCTGCCCTTAAATTTGACTGCTTATGGGCCTATGGCAGCCGATCCTCAACTTCTAAAATCCCATTTTACAGCTTGTTCGTTTTGGCTGAAACGATCGTGGATTATTACTGATAGCTGGTTTGGTGTGAGAGAAAAATACTGTTCTGGCTTATAATCCTCACGACTTCTAAAATCCCAGTCGTTGGTCCTCGAACTTGGCTGACTATCAACTTCTATAATACTTGCTTTTGGTTCATGAATTTGTCTGGCTATGCCATCTCGGACCCTCAACTTCTAAACTACCTACTTTTGATCACTGAACTTTGTTTCGGATCTTGGAGGCTCCAAAAATGATCTAGCTCGCTTCGTAGGCTGACGTGCCATGTACAAAAAAAAAACAATACTGAATTTAGGACTGTAGCAAGCGACGAGGAGAAAGAACATCATCATTGCGGCATAATGCAAATGGCACAATGAAAAAAAATTAACAGTGAAATTCTGAAGTTCTTCATGTCACAAACTGAGGCAGCACAAGAATGCTGAACAAAGAGAAGTTGTAGTAAAGTTGTGTCTGCAGCAGGCAACAAGGAGTAAAAAAAAAAAGAAAGATAAGACCTGAAGCCAAGTTCAGTGATCAAAATTAGGCATTTTAGAAGTTGGAAGACCGAGATGGCATAGCCAGCCAAATTCAGGGGCTAAAAGTAGGCATTTCACAAGTTGGGGGCCGGAATGTCATAGCCAGCCAAGTTTGAGGACCGGATGTGACTTTTACTTTTTTTTAATGTATGGACCGTGTCATTCTATACCTTCGGTGTCAACGATGTGTTTATGAGTTTCATGATCATAATTCGTCTTATTTCATCTCTGCTTTGTCCCAATTTCATGCGTAGATTCATAAACCACTCTAGGTGGAATTGTCTCAATTCCTAAACCACTTGCTCATCTTCCTTCTCTGTTTTATTCCAATTTCAGATAATACATTCATAAATTACCTCAATCCCCATCTATTCGGGTGAATTATGATGAAAAGTAATTAATTTCTATCATAATTCACTTCAACACATGTGAATTGACGTTGATAGAAATGCATCCAGATGTATTTTTAATATGGGCTTAACTTTGTCTAGGACCATGGTGGAGATGGTATTGGTAGTAAGAAGCAAGCAACAGCAGCAGTTCAATAGAACAGGATATTTAGGGTCTAATGCGACCAAAATTTGCCATATGCGCAGCCGCACTCCCAGTAGCAGCAGTACTAGCGTCCGGCCAGTGATTGTGCCAGCGGTTCGAAGCATCCCGTGCGTGGGGATGGGCAGGTACGGTGCCATAGTTCTGGAAATAAAGTCTAGAATGAAAACTTTTTAAGAATTGATTTCGTCTTCGAATGATGGAGTTCAAATATTGATGCACATCTCCTAGCTACAAGTCCTATAAATTTATCAGTAGGCAGATATGTTTGGTTTTTAGCCTCTCCATGACATTTGTAACTATATTTCGTTGAATGGATAAAGATAGTGCTCCACTCAAAAAAAAAAAAACTAGCGTCCGGCCGTGCGCCCGACGGAGGTTCGTTCGTGCCGTTTCTCATGTCCGCAACCGTGCAACACTCCATTCCTCCAAGCTTCCCACACACACGCACGGCGTCCCCGCAGCTGCAACAGGCGGCTGTGGCAGGTGAGTCACATTGTAACATGTACCACACCTGGTCTATTTTTAAAACATTCAGATAAACTTTTACAACATGCGTCTGAAGAAAGATGAAACACTTGAAATATGCGTCTAAAACACTTGCGAGAACACCTAAAAACACTTGAAAAGTCATAGCAAAACATATGCAACATCTTGACAAAAACACTTGCAAACATACGGAACATCCAAATAAAAACACTTGCAACATACGTCTGAAATATTTGAAACAAACGCTTGCAATATACGTGTATAGCCATTGCAACATATGTATATCCCGATCTACTTTTGCAACATCTATACAAAACACTTGCAACATACCTTTGAAACATCTGCAACAATTAAAACATACATTTGCAGCAGAGGGGGAGAGAACGAGGCCGGTCGATTCGTTAGGGCGGGAGCCGGCGGCGTGCGAGCACCACCAGCACCGGTCGCCCTCGTGGTTGCCCATTGGCTCGGCTAGAGATGACCTGAGGCGTTCTGGCACCTGCGTCCAGCCGCCATCGGTAGGGGCAGCGACAGCAACACATCCTGACAGCGCTGGGTTAGGGAAGAGGCCAAGGAGGCACTGCGCGAACTGAGGGAGGAAACAACATGGTCGGCTTAGGTGGAGGAAGAAAGCAACAGTGGCGACGCGGGGTTCTGCTGCTGCCAGCGGACATAGGAGAGAGACCTGGAGATGGGGAGGGCGAGACGGAGCGGGAACCGATGCAAGTGGACGGACGCCCGCGTTTGAGTATTTTTGTCCCAGTTCAGGTCTTGTTTGGACGTTATCGGATTCACTTCAATCCACATGTGTTGAGGTAGATTGAGGTGTAATTTAGTTCAAGTTTCAATCCAATCCACACTAACACATGTGGATTGATGTGGATTCGACTACATCCAAACAAGACCTTAGTGACGCCCTGCACTCAAATTTGACTGCTTATCGGCCTATGGCAGCCGACCTCAACTTCTAAAATCGTATTTTGGTCCTCGACTTCTATAATACTTGCTTTTGGTTCATGAATTTGGCTGGCTATGCCATCTCGGACCCTCAACTTCTAAACTACCTACTTTTGATCACTGAACTTTGTTTCGGGTCTTGGAGGCTCCAAAAATGATCTAGCTCGCTTAGTAGGCTGACGTGCCATGTACAAAAAAACAATGGTGGTGTTCGCTGGTCTGGAGGAGACCAGCCAGCCGGCTGGTTCCCTCACGTGACACTGTTCATCCATCCAGCCAAACAGTGTTTCTCTCTCACACAACCAGCCAGTTTCAGCCAAGATTTTGCCAGCCGAACGGGGCCACTAATACTGAATTTAGGACGGTAGCAAGCGACGAGGAGAAAGAACATCATCATTGCGGCATAATGCAAATGGCACAATGAAAAAAAAAATTAACAATGAAATTCTGAAGTTCTTCATGTCACAAACTGAGGCAGCACAAGAATGCTGAACAAAGAGAAGTTATAGTAAAGTTGAGTCTGCAGCAGGCAACAAGGAGTAAAAAATAATAATAGGAAGATAAGACCTGAAGCCAAGTTAAGTGATCAAAATTAGGCATTTTAGAAGTTGGAAGACCGAGATGGCATAGCCAGCCAAATTCAGGGGCTAAAAGTAGGTATTTTAGAAGACTAGAATGCCATAGCCAGCCAAGTTTGAGGACCGGATGTGACTTTTACTTTTTTTTTAATGTACGGAGCGTGTCATTCTATACCTTCGGTGTCAACGATGTGTTTATGAGTTTCATGATCATAATTCGTCTTATTTCATCTCTGCTCTGTCCCAATTTCATGCGTAGATTCATAAACCACTCTAGGTGGAATTGTCTCAATTCCTAAACCACTTGCTCATCTTTATTCTCTGTTTTATTCCAATTTCAGATAATACATTCATAAATTACCTCAATCCCCATCTATTCGGGTGAATTATGATGAAAAGTAATTAATTTCTATCATAATTCACTTTAACACACGTGAATTGACGTTGATAGAAATGCATCCAGATATATTTTTAATATGGGCTTAACTTTGTCTAGGACCACGGTGGAGATGGTATTGGTAGTAAGAAGCAAGCAACAACAGCAGTTCAATAGAACAGGATATTTATGGTCTGATTGGTTTGCGATCAAAATTTGCCATGCTATGGATTTGACAAGCCAAAGTTAGATAAAAAATTTGTCATGGATTTGACAAGTCAAATGTGAGAGATTAGCAAGTTTTATTAGCAAACCAAACAATAGCTAAAATCATGACTTGCCAAATCCTTAGCATGACAAATTTTGACCACAAACCCATCAGGCCCTTAGTCTCTTTGGATCTAGAATTATCTTCCTTTCCCATTCCAATTTGTCCATTTCTAAGCTCGAGATCTTATCCTCTCTCTATCGTAAGGTCGTGTAAATTCATCCAGTTTGTACCGGTACTAATTATTTCTATGCTATGAATGGAGGGGTGTGCTAACATTGTTATTATCTGGCACAATTACACCTTAAGTTTGTTCAGCCGGCTACAAACATATGCATTGAAACATTCAGTTGATTGGCACGAGTCTATGATTTTGTACATCCATAAGGCTACAAACATATGCACTGAAACATTCATTTGATGGGCACGAATCTATCATAACTACGATAGTTCTGATTGCTCCTTTCATCAGCTCTGAACCAGGCATATTAAGTGTGATTCAACTTTTAGAAAATGCTTCTACTGCCCAAAAAACAGAATGTCGACCAAACATGTAGAAACTAAGCTGCTTTCACGCAGTACAATTTTCACAACACTTCGGACCCTACTTTTGGCTTTCAGCTTCAACTTTTTCAAATAGGTGGAAATAGACAAATATTTTATAGTTGTTTCAATAAAGATAAAGAGATAGGGATAGGTTTCATAATCAAACAACCTATACTTTTTCACAGCACAACTCACAACAGCTTTTCCATAGCTAGAGCAACTTTTTCAAGCCCATAGCTGAACCCAACAGACGCTAAAACAATAAAAACGAAATGTTGCTAGCCCTAAATGTGACGAAGTACATAGAGTTAAAAAAGAAAAGAAAAAAAGACTGTACTACGGAGTATGTGATGCCGGATACAGCAAGTTTCTACGCTTCCTAATCAGCCTTTCAAGTGCATTTTATGTCCTCCAATTTGCTATGCTGTTATGGTCATCAACCTGTAACATATTTGAATAATGGAATCAGACATGTCAAGATTCTTTTTTTGATATGAAACAAAGCAAACCAGAGAAAACATGTACCATTGTACCTGGAGAAATTGTAAGATGCTATCTCGACAACATGGAAGGAGACAGCGAAGCTAACTTGATAGTGCCTCCACGACATAGAATGTTCCTAAAACACATGACTGATGTGCCTCTGTGGCGGTTCACCTAGCGGAATCTGAAAAACACTTCATGTGAATTAAAAGCAGATATCTATTGCCCCTAAATATGATTGCATATGCAATAAAAATGTAGCAAGATAGATAAGCAGGTTCCCATCAATAGTCAACATACAAGTATAACTAATTATGGATTTCCGTTGAGTAAAACAGCAACAAGGTTAATTCTTACCGAAATGAATTTATGTCCTAACATAGTACATAGGTCTCACAATAGTTCAAATTTTAGAAAAAAAAATCAAACATGAGAAATGCACATCAAACTAGTGCTCAGCAAGGAAAAGAAACTAAATACAGCTAGAGAGGAAGGTACATGCAAAAGATAAGAAAATCTTGCAAACGGTGCTGATTCAGAAACTAGAGGTAATTGCATATCATACACAATTGTACATCACATGCAACACGTGGGTGATCCGTGATTGACAACTGAATGGCTGGTCAATTATAAAACAGGCACAGGCATGTGCCATATCAGGATAGTACCATATCAGGATATCTATAGGCAAACAAGTTTAGAAATAAAACCATCAACATGGACCACGAGGAAGTATTCCATACCTCTCCAATTGACCATTTTTCCTTCAACCAGATACTATCATCCTGATTTTCACTTTTATTGTCCCTGTTGAATAAACATAGGGAGAAAATGGATATAAGCAACAAGAAAATTCACAATGTCGCATACAATAATTTCAAAGTTCACTAATCAAATCGACAAAAGCAAGCATATATACTGATATACATGATTCATGAACATTCAAGTCTGATTGGTTAATTTTAGAAAGTCCTTTGTGAGAAAGAGCAGTGCTTTCTCCATGACATCTACACAAGTACTGCATATTCACGGAATGAAAAAATAATACCCATTCATTATAGTGTTGGTCATTTTTTTTCTCCACCTCCCCCCTGCCCCCCACAACACACACAAAAGAAAAAGACATGTACTCAAGTTCCGCATATTACATACTCACAAGTTCAGCATACTCTGTGCATCTTATTGAAGGACTTACTCAACAGGAGCTTGGTTTGTGGCACTTGTAGGAGCCACAATTCCACTAAGTAAATCTTGTGACTGCCTATCAATGTCTCTGTGATGGCTAGAGGAGGAAGGGGACTGCTGGTAGCTAGCATGAGGCTTTGGGAAATTGCCAACACTGGGCATGTTTGAGCCTTGCAAACTCCCAGATGACTGTTGTGATATCTGGCTTCCAAATGAACCTGTAAAATCCTATATAAGTTGAAATGGCAACCAAAAGCAATATGCAGAATCACATATTTCCTAAATTAAGAAAAAAATAAAAGAGAACAAAGAAAAGGATATGCAGAACTGTCAGTGTCTAGTACGTTTATTTAATTCTGAGCCCATACTAGTGTCCATAAAGAGTCCAAGAGAGTTCCTGTTGAGTCCAACTACAACCTAAAAAAGTTGTATATAAGTTAATGTATGTGCTTCCTAAGGGATATACAGGATTATCCCCAAATCTTTAGGCATACATTAGCAACTTATCAAATGGTTAGTTCTTTATAAACGGATGCCAAAAAGTAACAAAGAGTCACGAATCAGAATGATTAAAGACCATCTAGACATGGATAGACACAATCACACAAACTATATTACTCATAATTGGATTGACCATGTACTAAATTCGTTGAATAAAGGGTAGCAGTGTAATTGCATGGATTAATCAATAATGCATACCTGAAACTCCAAATTTCATATCAGAACGGCCAAAAGTAGGTGTAGGAAATGCTGGATGGCTCGGCTGGTTAGATTGACCAAAAATACTATTGGTTGGGACTCCTGGTGTAGTTCTGCATGAGATAGCTCATTGAATTTAATACGGTACATGCACACAGAAACAGACTGATCAAAATGCATAATAATGTCTGTAGATTATTTTGAAGACCACTGATTTCTGATGGAATCATCAGTTTATCCAACAAATTAACACTAAGGTTACTACTGCCCATCCTCCAAGATCAAGTGAATATTACCTGGACCCAGGTCCAATATTAGATGCTGCTCCAATTTGACTGAAACTACTAAACACTGGTGGTCCGTTATTTTGAGAAACCCCAAATGGTGAGTTATTTTTCACTTCAGGGAACGAAGCCACAGTTGGAAAGCTTGGAGTTTGTGATACCGATAGGCGTGGATTGCTCAGAAAATTATTAAACTCTGTCAGCTTTGCATTTTGCAAATTTCTTTCACCCTCGACCTGAGGAAAGGAAACCAATGAATTAGAGTTCATTCTTGATAAAAATCCATCAAAGATCATAGTTATGATGACTAAACTATACAGTATGTCAGTATATAATAGAAACAAAAGTAAGTAGTGTTGTGTTGCTAAAAAAGGCACAACTCCAATTGTTCTCTGATAAATACCAGGTCATGTTGCTCAAGCAGGTACAGTTTGCATGCCTCTACCATTACAAAACCTAACAGGGATAAGAGACACACAGATACGATATCACAAACATTTGATAATATCACATGTGGTTTTCATACAATTTATGATATATCATTTTCCATGGCCCTTGTAGGAATGTTTTATCACATATTTCAATGTGCAAGATCACATACTTCAAACTGGAAAATTCCAATCAAATCAAAACTTGATAATGGGAAGAAAGTTGGGAGTGCTAAAGCTTACTATTGACTGTAGAGGATGCCCTTGCCTGCCTTCCTCATACGCTTTAGCTCTCAGCTCTTCAAAGCTAATATCCCCAGTGATGTCACAAGGACCACTAATGCAAACATAATACAAGAAGATGAGCGCAACTGCATTGAGGGAGGCAGAGGCCACTGGTTGAAGCACGATGAGTTACTTATTTACCTCCTGAGGTGAGCATAACACGTAAGCTTCCAGAGTGGAGTCTCATTCTTAAAATCCTCAGCAATCTGGTGTCTGCAAGACTCAGGATCTGTACAGGAGCTGGCAAAAAAAAAATCATAAAGTTGATGACTCACATATAGCAAGGAGTAATCAAGCAGGATCAAAAGTACAGTGCTCCACAATCGCAGACTCACGTGTGGGCTGCTGGTGGAGGCTGCGCCGCTTCCTGTTGCTTCGTCGGAGCTGAGGGGTCCCTTACCCACTTATTTTGAAATGGCTGATCCGACAAAAATCCATCAGTCACACACAAGAACACCCATTACACCATTACACAAGCTGAATTCCCCAAGTGAGAACAATTCATTAAAACAGATTACTTGTATCCATCAGACCAGACAAACCTTTGCTGGGCCAGGAGCGTTTCTGGACTGCGCAGCCGCACCGCCTTGTACTCCAAATCCAAACGGATTGGGCTTCTGCTGCTGCTGCTGCTGGAACTGCGCACCGAAGGAAGAGTGCTGCTGCTGCTGCCTGCTCCCAGAGCCGAACCCAAACGGGTTGGGATTCGCCTGCTGCTGCTGCTGAGAGCCGAACCCAAACGGGTTGGGCTTCGCCTGCTGCTGCTGCTGCTGCTGCTGCTGAGAGGACGCGTGCACGAACCTGCACTGCGCTCCGTACTTGCAGCTGCACCATCCAGAACGTGAATGAAAACCACAGAACTACGCAAATTCGAGGTACGGGCATCCCGAGCGAGCAAAGCGACTGAACTGAAATAAAAGCGGAAGCAATGGCATGCCGCGGCAACGGAGAGGGGAGGAGAAGACCCCGTACCTGCCGCGCTGGAAGTTCCTGCAGAGCTCCTGCCGCCGGCTCATAGTCGAGAGCGGGGAGGTGGACCCGACCTGTGCGCTGGAGCTCAAGCTCTAGGGTTTCGTCCCCGCCCGCCGCCGCCACCTCCAACTGCAATCGCCGGCTCCTTCACGCCGCGCACGGAACTCGCGTGGACGCGACGCACGGCACGGGGCCTGGTAAAACTGGAGCAGCAGAAGGGAAGGGAGCCCCCCACTTTTCCTTCCACGCGGCGGCCGGCGTGGCACGCGACGCGGGCGGACGCCGTCGGAGTCGGACTCGGGGAGTCCTGCGCGACGTGGGCCGCGGTCGAATAATGGTCGGGTCCTCCCTGGGCCTCGGCCTTGAGTGAAATGCAAGCGCTGGGCTGGGTGCCGCAGACCTGGTAAAGATCCGGCCTAGCCCGGGAGCAAGTGGGCCCATCGTATCTTCCTCCCCAGTCGCAGGCCCACTGGTGTAGTGCTGGTGATTCCGGCAGCCAGCGAGGCTGATCCGGGTGGCTGGCCGGTGGCCACAGGCCACAGCTCTCTACCTGGATTCCGCGAGGCCACGGTGCGCGCGCTCTTGTCTTGTGCCACTGCCACCGTCTCGCCGTCGCCTGAGCGAGAGCCGAGGCCACGCAGGCAGCCACCCGGGCCAGGGGGATGTCGGCGCCGGCGGCGCAGGCCGTGGTGGCACTGGCTCTCGCGGCCATCCTCTCGACGCCGGCGCCCCAGGCGGACACCTTCTCCAACGTCCCGCCCACGCTCTCCGGTGCGTGCGCTCGTGCGTGCAGATATGCTTCGCAACCTTTTGTGCATGCGTGCGTAGCGTAGGCGTGGCTGACGAGGAGTCGGTGAGCAGGGGGCGACGGGAAACAGGAGCGGATCAAGCACCCCAGGTCGGCCAAGGCGCTGCAGTGCACGACCAAGTGCGTCGGCACCTGCATCCGCGGCGGCGCGCCCGGCGCGGGCCCCCTCAACGTCAGGAGGTAAACCAGCCGCCGAACCTGCACCGGCGGACGGTTACTGCCGGTGCGTACGTTTCACTTGACCTGGTCCATGTCGTCGTTCACGTTGGGTTTTTGTGTTGTGCCGCGCAGGCCCCTCGTGGTGTTCAAGGACGGCTTCCGCAGCCGGCAGTATTGGTGGTACCTGCAGCTCCCTCTTCTTTCACAAACAGTGAGCTCAAGTCTGATCAGTTTGTTGTTCAATTAGCCTGATAGAGTGCTCGGATATCTGCAACCGCATCAAGGATGGGCAGGATGGACCCTGAGGCGACAGAGTAACTCAGTAACATGTAAGTCCAAAGCTCTTGAAGCAACTGTCATGGCTGCAGTGCAGGCTGGACTGAGATCCAGTTTTTCTGCCGGGCCTCCAAAAGCAGAATTTCAGAGGCAACAAGGGTAATAAGGTACAGTAAGTTAGTCAGTAACACATGCAGTTGGATCCAGGGACATTTGCTAGCTGATACCTTTTTTTCAACAAACTGAGAAAATCTGCTAGGAATGCAGTGTAGTAATCTTGATATATCATTAATGCAAATGGAGGGTATAGGCTATGGAGATTAAATTCTCATGGACTGGACTTGTCTAATATTACATTCTAGCTCATACACGATAATAGGGTCTGTGCGCACAGCCCTATGCACGTGGATATACATGTTGTCAGAACCATGATGAACTTGAGTTTTTATCTGGAAGTAGGAGTTATGTACAGATTTTTCATGAAACTCGACAAGATGTCAAGGAAGACGAACCAATTAAGACATTCCAACGGATATACATCTGACTTCCAATGACACGGGCCAATCCAGTGACTGCTTTCTCAAATTTGAGACTCCCATGGTCCTTGGATATAAACTTACTTTTCCAGACATACTGGTAACTCGAGAGACAGCTATTACACTGTTTCAACTGTCCATCAGGGCTTGGACTTCGTCACTTGTGTTGTTTATGTTCTCCTGCTGGCGATTAGGCTGTCTGAAAACATGCAAATATATCAGCTGAAGGCAATCACATTTTGTTGTGACTGAATTCATATATAACAGTCAAAAAACACTAAAGGCTAGTACAGTTTACCATTCATGTTATCTGGGCAAGGAAGCATCTGAATCTCGGATGGAAGTTAATTTAAAGATCCCGTATCTGGCAGGAAGAGGTAGCGAAACCGAGAATCAAATGGAATGATGCCGAAAGTACGGGTGCCCAGGAGACTTTGCCGCCTTTGAGACACACAGTGATCGACAAATGTAGCTTGCTGCTGAGGTAGAAAATGCGAGATCCAAATAGGGAAGCTGTTGTCGTCAACAAAACCACGGGCAAAACAGTGTAGTATCTTAGGGACCAGAAGCTTCCCTTTTCGACTTACTCCTACCGATGCTCTAATGAAATCACGCTGTGCATCTTGAAGTTCTTCCCTCACATTGTTTGCTGTGTATATCTTCACCTACAGTGATAATTAGTCCTTTGTCAACCATTAAATCTTTGCGCTAGGGACAATCATGAAAGGCATTCTAGCAAATCAACTAGCTTGTCAACAAAAAATATAGTGCTAATCTTGGTGTCAGATGAAGGAAACCAAAGGAAAATGCTCTGAGCTTACCCCGGGAGAAGAATACATTCCACAGCTGAGGGCAAACGTCAAAAGTGGCTCAGGTGCCGCAATGCAGAATTTTTTCTGCTCCTCAGGTACCTTAATCTTCTGAAGGGCAAGAAGCAGGGCCTTCAACCAAAGACAGCAATAACTTTTAACTGAAGGAAATCGAAATAAGAAGCACTGTCAGCTAAATGCCCTGCAAGGTTTTCAGTAAGTGGTATACCATCTGTGGCCTATGACTTGGTGGTTTCATCTTCAGAATTACATATTCAATAAATGCAGCACTGAATGAGTGCCCACCAATTGTATATGCGGCCTGGAGAGAAAACAAGTATAATGAATTAATGATACGATTCTCCAGAAATAAAAGCATGTCACACAACAAGCAAAAAAAATGGAAATCTTGAATTGCTGACATGCTATTTACTTAAGAGTCCCAGGCTCCCACTCCCAGCTAACATAGGAACAAATCTTTTTTTTCTCGAACAAGCTTAGCATGTATGTAACATAGGAACAAATCTAATGTACAATATAATTGGTTCCTTTAGCAAACCTTTTGCATCAGTGAAAACAGTTTCATGTCGCTTCGTGGAACACCATAAGCAAGATAAGCCTGTAAAGGGATAAAAAAATGTCACAAATGTTCAACATGTGCCCTCCCACACATTCAGCTACCCTAATAAGAACTAAAGTTTTCAAAATCACGTACGTGCATCATCAACGCGTTGTATAAGTTGATCCAAAATGCCAACCTTGCATCATCATTGAGGTGAATAGGGTTTATTTCTGCCAGCTGCTCAATGAACAATCTGCACTCTAATAGGCGATCATTAGTACTGTTGGATTAACCCAAATACCATGAAGGACGAAACAGGTGCTCATCTTTAATGGCATTGAAATAAAAGGTAAAGTGGTACTAAAGAGGCAATGTACTGAATCGTGGAGCTAAAGCCAGTGGATTATAGTATGATTTGGTACACCAATTGTCATAGTTTCAGTTAGTTACAAACAGTAAGGTGCAGGTATTACAAATATTGCTTGACACATTACCTGAATTTGCGAAGTGACTCCGCAGCGTATTCAAGTTGTTTTTTCCCAACTGACATCCACGAAACTTCGGCCGCCGCACTGTAGCTGCCTATGTCAGCCCAGCTAAGCTTCTCACGGGCTTTGTAAGGGTCAAAAACAGTCTCCGAAGCTAATAGATTATTGTTGTAGTTCAAATCCACCTGAGGGCTCTGTACCCAAGAAGATATGGACGACGGTTCCGACAGAGACCAGAAGGCAGAAATTGAATAATTCCCAGTGGGGGATGGAATAGACTGCTGATTCTCCAAGGAGGAATTCCTTGAGGAGTCTCTGCAGGAATCTGATAGCGAAATAAAAATGTTCCTCATGCAGCGGACCATGTCCTCGGAGAGCTGATTAGGATCTGCGAAGCCTTTAACAGAGATCTGTCTCTGTAGTTTCACAGCTTGTTCATGCAAGGCAGCACGAGGATAAACCTCCTCCCCTTGGCTACTGCATTTTTCGCCCGTGGTATCCTGGTAGCAACATGAATGTTCGTAGACAGTGAAAAGACGGGCTAAGAAGATAATAACTGAGCTAAAATCTGAAACATATATAGTTTCTTAATTTAGTCTGGAGATGATGCGTTGAGATCAGAATGGTAAGTGAAGGTATTTGGCATGACTATTGTAGAAGGATATGGCACGTTTTTGGAAAGCAACACAGAATTTCCATCCCTTACAGACTGAATGCAGTGGCCAACGTTATAGTGGTACAAACTGATTCAGCAAGATAAATCCGTATGTTATTTGCAGTCTAAATGAATCTTGCAATTGTTAAGCAGGAACAGGAATAATGTCGATGAGCAGAGAAATACGTACATCTGGTCCGAGTTTCCCGGAGTGGCAGGAGCAAGCGGACGGCGGCGGGGGGAGGTGCTTGAGGCGGTACTCGACGAGCCGCCTCTCGTTCCTCTCCTGGATGAGCTGGAAATGCAGGGAGACCATCTCCTCCTCCAGCTTCGTGACCGCGGTCTCGAGGATGCAGATGTTGGAGAGCAGCTCCTGCGCCTGCAGAGGAGAGACCGTCTAATGTCAGCGACCGCCGCCGGGGAAGCCAAGCCAAACCAACCGTGGGCGTGCGGGCGTGCGTACGTTGGTGGGGAGGTATGCCATGTCGGCGAGCGTGACGGCGGCGCGGCCCAGGGCGCCCTCGAGGACGGCGTGCAGCGCCGTCTCCTCCTGCAGCGCCTTGCGCAGCCTCTTGACCTGCGCCCGCGCGCGTGCGTGCATTCCATGTGAGGGGGAGTGAGGAGAGTAGGCATGGGCGGGCGGGCGGAGAGAGAGAGGGATCGGTGACTCACGTCCTGCTCCAGCTGCGACCTGCCGGACGACCGCGCGGGCTGCGGCTCCGGCTGCGGGGAGAACCCCCTCCTCGCCTTGGCCAGCGGCAGCGGCATGGTGGTGTCGTGCCGGCCTCACCCTGACGGGCTTCCCCCGCCTCGGGGCCGAGACGGCGAGGTCGGAGTCTGGCCCGCGCTTTCGCTGGGGTGAGGAGAGGCGACACTGCCGCCGCCGCCGGCAGAAGGAGCAGGGAGGCGGCTTGCGTGGCGAGGCGACGGGACGGGAGATCTTCGCTTGGTTTGACTGCCTGGTGCCCTGGTCTTCAAATTTTGAAATGCCGGCTGGGCGGCGGGGCGGGGAGCGGGGCTACGTGGCCGTGTCCACGGGCCACGGTGGCGTGGAGTGGGTGGCCGAACTCGCCACTCGAGGTGGTGGAGGCAGGCAGGTAGTAGACCCAACCCAACCCAACCGAAGCTACTCTACTCGTCCACACTTCCACTTCCACACCTGGGCTCGGCTCGGCCGGCGCATTTGGTCAATTGGCCGTCACGATGGATCGATGACATCGATAGCAGTAGCACCATCGCTGTCGCACGCATTGTGCTGAAGCGTGTAAGCTCGGCAAGCCAGCGTTGGTTGTCAGGTTGTGCCGTGCGTGCCATGGGAACTGGGATGGGTGGTCACACCACACGCACCTGCCGGCCGGCTGCCGCTACAGAGGAGAGGACGGACGGTCAGTGGATCACCTAGGAGAGCAACAAACGCACGCCCGCTGCATTGTTTACGCGCTCGGTGGCGCGATCCGCGGTCCTATGCGCGTGCCGGTGACCGCCACCAGGCAGCTCGTAGCTGTAGCCCGTAGGAGCAGCTAGCAGGGGAAGGCTGATCCCGTCCCGTCCCGCCACGGCGCCACCGAGCGAGCCCGAGACCGCGAGACGCGTGCCAGCCCTTGTCCCGCCCGCCTGTCCGCTTCCTACGCTCTCGTCTTTTCCTTTGGGAGGGAGGCCACGACCGCCATTGTTTACTGCTCCCGTCGCTAGTGCCCACCAGGCAGCCTTCCGCCCTGCACGCCGCTCGACGCCACTCCTGCCTCCTGGAACTGGCATTGCGGTTACGGAGCCCAAGGATCGGATCGCAGATCCACAGCCGAGTTCAAACTTGAAAACCTGGTAGTAATCGCGATCATGCTCTCCTGGCCGCCCTCATTCCTTGGGCAGATTAGGCGTCCCATCCCATGGGCGCTTCGGCAGATAGCAATAGCATGGCAGTGGAAGTTGTTGGGGCACAGGCGCACAGCAAATGCAACCACTCCCATCCACTGGGCAGGACACTCCGGCACTAGCTAGAGCAACTCGCCCACTACGACGCAGCATGCTGCTGCCATTGTCGCCGACCGGCCTGCCGGCGCAGTAGCAATTCAATTCATTCCGACGGGAGTAATGGTATGGATGCAATGCAACCGAAAGCTAGCTGCGACCTGCGACGACACTGGGACGAGCAGGGGGGGCAAAGGCAAAGCAGAGCGCATTGAAACGCTACAAAACAGGCGTGGCCACGCCGCCCAAAAGCACACAAGCTACTGCTCCATGCTGCTGCGGCCATAACTGCCAGCACCGCGGCTCACTGAGCTACAGTACTAGTATGCAGTTCCACGACTCAATACGCACAACAAACCAGTCGACAGGGGTGAAAAACCAGCGATGACCGCCATTTTTTAAAAATTTAAAACAAACACACAAACCGCCGTTAGTCAGCGAAACCATTTCCTCCATGTACTAAATCGATTATCCAACCTCAGGTGATGGAAATTACGCATCCGGCCAAAAAATTGTCAGGTTTAACAACACAGGTTTCCCAGGCCTCCAAATTGTTGGAAAGGCCCAGCACGGTATGTGTAGACAGACAGCAGCGTCCCCGGCGCAAGCCAGTTCACCGCGCAACCAGGGACCAGCAGGGGGGTGTGCTATGCCGACACCCAGTCACTCAGCTGGGCAGTGACCTTACCATGCTGGGCGGCAGGAGGACCCTTCAGGCGAGGCACCGCATTCGCGAGGCGAAGGTTGTAGTAGATGTACTCCATGTTGCGGAACCTCTCTTGATCGGCGAAGGACCGCTTCTGGGTGTGCAGCCTCTCGGATAAGCTCTTGTCAAGGTTGTACCTAGTAGCGCCGAAGCATGTCTGGCCTAGGATCCGAGCAGCAAAAGATTGTAGCTCCTTCGTGCCACTCCCATGTCTCTCCCACCAGACATCTGCGATTTGTTTCAGGTAAACACAGGTAAGGACACAACTCCTTTAACGGAATTATCATCACACTGGTAGGTTTCTATTCTTTTTTCTTTGTAACAGTTCAAAACAAATTCTTGATTCTAATTTCTACACCATTTAATCCAGAGGACACAGACTAACTTCTGTTGAACGTGGTAACTTAAGCAAGTTGAAAGATAACTTTGTTGGCAACATGCATTAGTCATTTTCTAAGGAGGGGCACAAGGTAACAAATACGAAGCATATCAACAGTGGGTATCAAAATGCAAATCATGAACTTGAAACCAAAAAAAAAAATCAGATATGGTATTAAATCAGGTGACAAATTATCATGCGAGCAAAGGCCTCACACCATAGCATATAGAAGCGTATATCAAATGTACTCCCAAATTATAAGACGTTTTGACATTTTTAGATTCATAGCTTTTACTCCCTCCATTCCAGTATAGCCAGCGTACAAGGCCATATACCAGATACCAAGAAGGTTATGGAGATATGCGCCCGTATTAACAGCTGTGCTTTGCTGTGCCGCAATTAGCATCGCCCCGCTGGCCGCTAAATCATTTTTTATTCGAGTATACTAAGATAGTGCAGCGACGGTTAAGCTGCATGCATGCAAGGTTGAGCTGCATGCATGCAGCATGCGTCGCTTCGAGTCGAGCCAGAGTAATGACTATATGCCTTGGTACTACTGCCCCCCTGCTATTGTGGCTGATTACAAAAACTTGTGTACGCCGGGTAAACAGGAATGGAGGGAGTACCATGTATCTAAACATAACATATATCTAGGTGCGTAGCAAAAGCTATGAATATAGAAAAGCCAAAACGTCTTATAATTTGGAACGGAGGGAGTAGCATCCAACTATATGGGGGTATTGCAGAACTACTAGTCTACTGCCTCCAGTCATAAAACACGAGATTTCAGACAAGCAAAACAGTTTTTTTCTCTGCTGTTTCTCCTTGTCTGAACATCATGCTTTAATGACTGTGGACACGGCATTATTTAAACCTGAGTTATTGTTTACTTAAATTAGCATGGGCCTTTCTTTAACCCAAACCGTCATTAACTAATTAACATTAGCGTCTACCTTGGGATTAGTAGACAAGCATGCATGGTATGTTCAATGAAAGCAACTTAGGACATATATCATGACAAGGCATTAACTTGCCAAAAGGAACAGAGGAGCAATTGTGGCAGGCAGCGAGATGAGCGCAGCTGTGGCTGTAGAGATTGTTGTGTGAACATGATATTACTCATTAGCGGGAAAGAACCAGGACTTCTGCCTTAGGCAATATTGCATGTACATAACAATTTGTACACTGGAGAATGGTACTCCTGCTCTATTTAAGTTGGTATGGAGTTCAAGCATCCTAACCAAATCTAACATGTTTAATTAAATTTTGGATAAACCAGAAATAACGGCACTTAGTAGCAACACAAAAGAGCATCACATCAAATAACAGACAGACTATGAAGGTGCGAAACCAGGAGAAAGGTACAAATTAAAATGTCCTGAAATATTTAGATCAAAGGGGTTCACACAGTGAATCAGGACTGGCCTTTACCTTGAGGTGTTCCAGTAGCTTCCTGAATTGCTGAATCTGAATCAAACAAACCTGATCTTCTTTGATATAGATCCATTTGTTCAGCTACATGCAATGCATGATAATGACTTCTAGCCACTCGGATAATGCAGGTCGTGATGCCACTGCTGATTTCAGAATCATGGCGGTACCGGTCAGCGTAAAAGAGCCCTGGATTGAGAATATAACCAGCAGCATGGATTGGGGAATGCAAATAATTGTCCCATATGCGATCAATCATCTGCCAGTAATTACCATGCTCATGACCAAGATTTTTTTTTATACCTTCTTTTGCACTATCCATGGCATCATACAGGACACTCACTGGACAATTATCATTTTCCAATTTATACAATACACTGATAAGTGGGCCTGTAACCTTCAAAACATTATCAGCAGCACTCCAAAATGCACTATCCGTTTGGACTACCTCACATATATGCATGGACAGACTTGTACAAGCCAGATCAGAGGAAACCCAGTTCGACGAGCTAAACATCTCCATCAGATTTTCCCTCTGAGACACTAGGGTCTCAAGCGTGAGAAACTTAGCCACCGATTTCAAGTTAGAGTTGCTAATAATCTCAGAGTCAAAATAAAAGAACTTTTTCATCAGTTCCATGGGTAATGCATGGCCATACAAAAACAACGTGATTTCTCTTGCCTTCGTTAGGACATCTTTCACGTGATCCAGTTCAGCTATATTCTCAAGCAGAAGATCGATGCAATGATCAGCACATACTGTGAATATGAATGACTGGTCATGTTTCTTTAGCACAGCATGCTCTGTAGCTTGCATATGTGGTGAAACATTATTGGTGATGACCTGAACAATGTTGTGGACACCGATATCATCAATCAAACAACAGACCATTGCTGCAAGCTCATCAACATCATCAAATATTGTGGAGATGTCTATGGATCTGAGAAAAAGCATCCCTTCTCTGCAATGCACGAAAGCACTAATGAAGCTTCTCCCACACCGGCTTTTCCAGCTATCCAATATCAAACTGCAGCCTCTTCTCTCCCAGTGTTGCCTCATAGCCTTTTCATGCTTTTGAACTTCACTCAGTTGCACTTGCAGAATATATTCATAAGAAGGCATTGCAATCCGAGCCCCACGGGTGAGCAAATCAATCACGCCATTAAAAGACGGCAAGTGAACAAAATCAGACTCAAGACCAGCCTCAAAGACAAGCCTGCCTATTGAATTTGCTACTAGAGAATCCAGGTTATCAGTTGCTCCCATCGAGCGTTCTGATTCAGGCTTATGTGACAAAGAGTGGTCCACAGAGAGGCTGCATGATTTGGTTCCATGGCCTGATGACGATGATGATAGCTCTGCTTGCATATTAGTTACGCAGACATTTTGAGGACCACTAGCTCTTGAAGTTTGGCCTCCCTGCCTAGAAGAACTTGCATTCCAACAAACAGCATTAGCTACGCAGACATTTTGAGGACCACTAGCTCTTGAAGTTTGGTCTCCCTGCCTAGAAGAACTTGCATTCCAACAAACAGCGTTAGCATTTGCTTTCGTTGTTGCCATGGGCAGCTGGCTGCAAAAGTGTGAACTGAAGGTAGAAGCAGTCCACCAAATACAAATCCCCTTGACCTTTGTAGTATGTAGTTAAGGCAGCTGGTGGCAAAAATGTTTGATAAAATTGACCCAGGTGGTGAGACAGGATCCTTATCAGAGGAAACTCAGGATATGCCAACAGAAAAAACAATTCTACTTGGCCTATCCTAATTCTTGCATTCCTCAAGTGAACTCCTTGACAAAAAGTATTCTTGATGCACAATCCTGAAAAGAAAACATAGGCTGTTAGGAAAATTAGTTTAACAGTGTTTTATTCCCAAAAGACACGTATCAGAAATAGAACATTCCATAAACTAGAGGAGCTAAGGACTTAAGGTGCTTCCTTGTCAAGAATAAATGGTTTTAAAAAGCAATAATTATTTGCTGCAGGATTTTGTTTATTTAAAAAATAACAAGTCTATCTTTGCCTGAGCTACAGATATTTGAGAATCGATACAATGAATTAACAGTAACCATGACAAGCAAGCTCAATAATTGGCCATTTTCAACATGATGCCATGAGGATAAGTGTACAATTGGATTATAAACATGGATACAATTGTCTATACATCAATCCTACAAATTTGAAGGTTCAATGATTTGCAATGAACCTTACATATTAATGCATTTCCTTATGCCTTGGGATAAAAACTACTAGTGCAGCATTTCTTTATTTCAGCAATAATGATTGATGACGCATATTTAGAGGGCAAAGCGTAATAACGACAATAGAGATGCCATGCTTTTTCAGATGCTGATTGATGCAGCAGAGTTGATGGGTGAAAAACGCAAAACTGCTTGCATCACATGCACATTAAATAAATAATATGTTAAATAGCTAAATAAACAGACCTCTTTTATCTTCTAGATTTGATTCCAATTCTTGATGGATTCGTCAAGGAATACAAATGAACTTAGTTAGGACAATGCGATTGCTACGATATCTAATTATAAGGATACCATTGCATGGAACCTCATAGCTTGCTACCATTCCTAAGGACAAAATTATGGATTGTGTATTAAGATATAGACTGGTGTAGAAAAGTTTGGAAAAGGCTCAGGATCAACCAAGGACATGTAAATGAAAGCTTACAAGTAGGAAACTAAATACTACAGTACATGCAGTCTTGTGATAAAAAAAACATTTCAAACCATATCTGATGTGTTGCACAAACAAACTTCATTGGGAACCTCAAAATTCAGGAAGCCAAATTTAGTATGAAGGTTGACTCCAGCACCCAAAAAAAAATGCAACAGTAACAACAAAGCTCTTTAGTCTCTATCAAGTTGAGGTGGGCTAGAGTTGAAGCCCAACATGAGCCACCAAGAAAAAAGAGAAAGAAAGAGAAAATAAATTAAATACAAGGCATCAATAATAACGACACATAATTAACCAAGAGAGGAAAAAAATAAAAACGTCATTATGATAAGGCCTAGCAGCATTAAAAATATTAATCCCAACTCAAAAGCTCCTAAGTCTGCTTACTGCAAATCAATGCAATTAGGCTACTATCTGCATTTACCACATTCAGATATTGAGGGATGCAAAGTGAATAAAACAGAAACAGTATTCGGAGTAGTAAATCATATGCATAGCATGTCCATGCCCATGCTCTCCGTAAACATACATAGATCCAAAGAAAGCACTTCCTAGTCTGCTTTTTTTCAATTAAGAAACCTAGCCATGTGACCATGTTCTGATTAGCTCAACAGCTTTTAAAAATCTACCATGACTACACAGGACAAAAACAACGTCCTTCCGTACGCAGCACGGACTCCCTATGCGTTCACAGTGGTGAAGCGTGAGGGGCACGGGCGCATGACGTCTTAGTTTTAATACCCGCCACGCGGAGGTGGGAACAAACAATTAAAACTTAATCAAACGTTGTTGCGAAGCGGGAAAGAGTTCCCGCGTCCAAGGTTCCCCCATCCCAAAGCTTTTGTGAGTCTCCATCCCCATGTTGGAGAATATACCATTTCCACTCTTTACAATCATACAGGGAGCCACAACAGCACCCCACCCCTGGTATATTTCCACTCCTTACAATCATACAGTGAGCCACAACAACACCCCACCCCTGGTATGTGGTTGACTGGTCCATCATCCATGCAAACAGACCTACGATCCATGGACGGATCTCTCACGCGATGGATCAGAAGGACCCACCCAGACCTCGGGCGGATGGCTGGACAAAATCGCACATCACAGGCGCGGATCGAGTAAAGGCCATTGCTGCACGCATCTACACAGCTAGAACAGATCATCAGAGTCCGCTTAAGCTAGGGTTTGGGTGCTCGGTTCCGCACGGCATCAAGGGAACAGAAGTGCGGGCATACCCTCGGTGCTCACCGCAGGCGAAGCACCAGTCCAAGAACTGGCGAAGAGGGCCCGACGAAGACCTGGGCACCTCGCGTCAGGCGGCGGCGGCTGTAGCGAGAGCGAGCGCTGAGCGCAGCGCAGCGGGGTGAACGGGCAACAAAAAAGCGAAGAGTGGAGCTGAAGCGGGTGCCAGAGACCCGGACTGAACTACTGTATAGAATTTGCATGGGCGTGGACCAGGCCTGGATGCTCCTGTGCTTTTGCGTTTTGGGTTCTGGTCGAGGTGTCTCCGTGTCTGTCTAGGCCCACTGGCCCAGGCTCCAAACCACGTCGCTGACCTTGTGTTTATTTTCTGTTTTTCTAATTCTTTTCCTTGTTGGATTAGAGGACTGTTTTTATGTGATATATAATTAAAAATATACAGGTGCTCCTTATTGGAATTTTTAATTTTCGTAGTACTAATTAGATGAGAGAAAATTAATAAAATGATAAATTTAATAGTTTATATATGGTCATGAAGATATCACGAACCATATTAATATTGTGCATTTTCCTCTCATTATTGGTATTATCCGTCTTAGACACTAGCCAACCAGAACTTCTCCATTATTATCTGACCATGAAATATCATCGACTTTCTAAGGCCCTGTTTGGATTCAGGATCCTTATACGTAGTAATTATCCGCTAATAATTATCTCTTTTAGATCTAAACAGGTAGATAATAGATTAGCCAATTGTTAGCTTGTGCTTTAGATAACAACTATCCCACTAGCTGACCCAAATTAGATAATGAGCTATTCGTCAAATAACTACTATGAGATAGTGAATCCAAACAGGGCCTATGTAATCGTGCTTTGTGTCTTGCATGCTATCCAGGATTCCAACCAAGAAACCATAAATGGTAAGCATATGTTTAGTTATTTTTACAGATTATATATTTGTGACATTGTAACTAGGGGTTAGAGGTTCGGTTTATAGCGACGGCTTATTCGATCTTTTCGGTCCTAAAATAGCATGGAAAATTGGAGAACCAAGGGTTGGGTCTTCGGTCTCCTTAGATTGGTCCTTTGTTCTGGTCAAGCGGATTGATGGTGCACGATCAAGCATACGGTGTTGGCCAACTCCACCGCCTACTCCATGACATCTGGGCATAGCTCTGCCTAGCCAACATCGAAAACATGACACATCCATAGCCTCATCCACCACATCCATATGACCGAGCTCCACCAACCTATTCTCCCCATTAGGTATTGTTCGTTTGATCCAAATCAAAGAAATTGGAGGGGATTGAAGGGTGTTAGAGGATGATTTTAACTTGTAGATGATTTAATCCCCCACAATCCTATCGAATCCCCTTGATTTGGGATCCGACGAATAGGCCCTTGAGGAGCTTCTTGCCTCCATGTTCTTGCCCACTCTTACGCTACCTCCCTTCTCTTCTCAAACTCCACCTCCGCTAATGCCTCACACACATCAGCCTCTACGTGCCCCCGTTTGTGGATCTGGAGATCACGAACTTCATCTCACCGTGGGACAATATGCGAGTGGTACAGCTGAAGCCCTAGAGATAGAAAAGAGTCCGATGGCTGAGCAAGCAACAACAAGGACAGCGAGGAGCTACAACAATTGTACTTTAAGGATTCAGATAGGGTCGATGGTGGGTTTTAATAAGACCCAAAGTCTATTTTGTGTGAGTGTTAAACCCTACATGGATTTTAATATAGGTTGCTACACAATATTTATTACTGGAGCTAGCTGGCATTAGCTTGACCCCAAAACTTAGTGTCACTATTGTCGATGCCTTTGTTACTATATTTGGAAGCTATGCTGGTTGACACAAAACATTCTCTTCATTGGCCGACAACCAACTTAAAAACTTGTGGTGGCTGAAGTTACTAGATACAATGGTGTCGCAGAAACCTACCAAAAAGGAAGCGTGGAGACAAACCAAAACCATGTCGAGAACATGTACATGATCATGAGATAGCACGGATACATGCGATAGTTGGGTTTGCCATTCTTCTGTGTTGTTCCTACTCATTAAGGGCCTGATTGGATGCTCACATGTGTTTGGCCTAGGTTGCTGGGATGCAGTTACAAATTGTTTGGATGTCTGCACCATGACTTGGGCTAGATCCCGCTCGTGCAAATCTCCCCCACTGGCCTGGCTCTAGGGAAACGAAAATGAATCTTGTTTCCTCGTGGGCTGGCTCCCGTGGGACGCGACGCACGCTTGCCGACGTCCGTTCGCGGATCTCCTAGGCATACTTGTGCTCGAACATCTTGCAACCAAACAATCACTCCTTGCTTCCCGGTGTTGTGGGCACATGCAACCATACGATCATGCCTTGCATAGGGGAAATCTAGCCAATGGTGGCCTGGATGCGAGATGTGAGACAAGCTGGGACGGAGAGCCTAAGATGATGTAATATGATCATGACAAACGATCTTCTTTTTAAACAGGGTGGTATTTGCTAACTTCTAAACTAGCATATGGTTTTCTGAAAGTTCTGACAAAATAAAGTATAGAAGAAATTAAAATCTGGCCAGACAATATGTCAATTAGAATTCGATGGCAATTTTTTGTGAATCCTGATCACACTACCATATTAGCGGTTAGCTTTTGACATACGGGAATACCTGACTCAT